CACCAATCATTTATATTTGAAAAGCCAGTGACTATATATTTAAGTACCAAAAAACACATCCTTTTTTACCAATTCATGCAAGTGAAAAATCATGTCATCACTTTTCAACCAACTAAACAAATAATTGGTCAATTGACCTTATTTGACTGCCTAAAGGGCCTTCTCAGCCAAAGCTCCATTGTCACAAGCCACGGGTTGCTCACCAAAGGCTCTATAATCAGATTTATCAAAACAAAATACCATACAACATCATGGCTATGTTTTTTAGCCCTGTGAAGTTGTTTAGGAAAATCATTGCTCTCTTGATCATTGTCACTTGGAAAAGCTATGGAGACCATATATACCTGGTTGCAATATTCAATTGCTTAAACCTTATATGCGGATAAAAATATAGACTTTATATGGCCGTTAGGCCTTAGGTCAGGCATTTCCGTCTAGTCTCTATACTTGTTGAGGTTTCATTTAATTGGTCAACAATATTATTTCTTATTTCGCTAAAATAATATGACATAAATGTACAATATACATTTTGGTAATGGAGTTTATATGATTGTTTATCCATGTTTTATAAGCATTTTATTAAATTTTGAAGCTATAAATTATTATCACTTAAAAGTATGTAATATGCTTAAAAATAATTTTTTTTTATATAACATAATTGTACCAAATTAAAATAAAAGCACTAAAACCAAAATTGAGGAAATGAGAATTTGAAATTATGCTTAATAGAGTATAAGAAGATATCACACATTCACACTTACACTTACAATAATCATAATAATCCAAATGGGATTTCTATTTTTATCCAAATATTTGACAATAATATAGATACTTAAGTGAAAAGGATAAAAAAGAAAAACAATATTGGAAAATAATACATACATCAAAATTTAATTAAAAAAATAGATGTATAAATAAATTTATTTTTTGCAGGCTTTCAAATAAAAGAATGCAATACACAGACTGCAACAATAGTAAAAAGTGAAAGCAATAGGTATGGAAAAGGACAAAGGATTTCAAAAAACATAATACAAGTTCCATGTTTTATAACATTTTGCTTGGAGTGTTTGAAACGAATCAGCGGTGCAAAAACCATATAAAACTAACCAAACATGTAATAAATAAGATATGGAAACACTAAAACTCATAAATAGAAGATGTGAATACCTAAATGAAGAACTTTGACCTAAATCTTTAACCATTTTAACTTCAAGTAGTAAATATATACCTCAAACCTACATTAAGGACTAAAGTACTTAACAAACATGATAATTCCAAAAAAAAGTCAAAGGAACTTAGTTTAACATCACAATAAGCCACTTAATCTACACACACATGATGGGATATGAAATAAAATTGAAAAGTATTGAACTCGTGCCGGATAAAAATAATTCGTAAAGCAAAGACATATAATTAAAAGATTATGTTTGGTCATAAATGATTAATAATCCAATACATCAAGGAAAGGTCAATAAAAATACCATACGCTCACCTTGTAATCATTTTCAAGGGCTTTTAATTGCTCAAGGTCTTCTTCCATGATCAAACTGCATGTTCTCTTTCTTCCTATATCACCAACAATTAAATTCATTAACATAAAGCATTCCAATCCTTGAGTAATCAAATGAATTTATTGATATTATAAAAACAATAAGAATGGAAGCCTAAATCTTCTTGTTTACATCAAAGATATAATGTTCGTATTTTGAAGAGTTGCACACATAACCTGGAACAATAGATGTACAAAACGGATTCTTAGTCCTTCATTCCTGAATGTTATTGTTTTTGGAAATCTGCAACCCAAAACACATATATGATATCATATATATATTATTCAGTTTAAATGAAACTACATATAGAAAAAATAGTTTCAAAATATAATTTATCCCACTTAGGTCACAGTTAATTCTTTCTACAAATAGTGTTGATGGTTGTCGAAACAGGGATACAAATGGAAATACATACCTATGAAGGAGTAAAGAATAAAGGTATTGGAAGTTAAAGGCGGTGGAAAACTTCCAGAAGCAAAAGTTGGCATCACCAGCTAAAATAGGTAATTGGCGAGATTTACGTGTTCCAGGGGAACAGATACAAAAGTTGGCCCTGGTAAATTCGATAAAAGCAACCATAAATTCGATAAAAGCAACCAAACAAAAACCGATACCCAAATTCAAATAACCGAAAACCCAAATTCAACAACAAACAACAAAACCCTTACGGAAGGTGATATAGGAAAAGAAAAAAAAAGTGAGAGTGAACGTATTAAACCTGGAGGAGCAAGATTGGAGGTGAAACGAACGAGAAAACACAACAACATAGCATATTAAATTAAAGGGGAAAATGAGGGAGGAAGAACATGTGGCAAAAAATTAGAAGAAAGACGATGACTAAGCATAGTGGAGTCAAAGTACGGGATAGAGCAACAATATATTTAAAATGTAAAAACAAGATAATAAACAACGAGAATTGGCAAAATCTTATAATGTATGTGGCAAAACTCTAAAACAGTGAAGAGGTACTATTGCCTAAGATTTTGTGTATTGATATGTGGGTTAAGCTATCCATACTCCATTTATTATCTACTTATACCCCTTAATCAATAAATCTTACTTTGTTTTAAATAACTATAATAATTACCTAATAACTTTAACTTTTTGCATTAATTATTAGTTTTTAAAGAGTTTTTTGATAGAAAATATATAACGATTTAAAATTATCTACTTATGGATTTTGATTAGCCTATGTATAATGCAAAACCCGTTCCAAATTACTATATAATTGTTTCAGATTAATTTAAGAATAACTCGAAAACATCAAAAAATTAAAAAATTAAATTTAATAACCGTTACGGATTAGCTTATTTATAACTCGAACACATTTGAGTTATATATATATACACACACACACACAATAACTCTTATATAACCCTTTCATACTTTAAAGTCTAAACAAAACAGATGTTAAATGAGACAACAATTTATCACCTTAGCTAATTAATTTTAGTTAAAACTTCGGCCTATAATTGTTAATGTTAAGTGAGCGGGAGAGTTTTATATATATATAGATATATATATATATATATATATATATATATATATATATATATATATATATATATATATCTAAGAGGGTTCGACATTGCCACCTACTGCTGCTAGCTACAACCATTGCAATCACATCACAGCAGGGATAAGCCTATATATATATATATATATATATATATATATATATATATATATATATATATATATATATATATATATATAATTTATATACTTACTATAACAATAAATGAGCAGAGTAACAACTATACATCATATTATATATGAAATTTTGGCAGAGTAAAACGGGTATAATATAATCCGTAAATTTTAAGCATCACAACTCATGTATAAAATATCGGCATATGATATAATAATATAATCCACACTAAATATAATAAGTATTCCACCTCCGCCCCAAAAAAAACTTTGAAAAGCATAAAAGTGAGGTCGTGAACTCACCCACGAAGCGTGCTTTTCGTACTCAGGACGTCGCATCCGAAAGCTTAGCGGCTGGAGATTGCTTGAGAGGGGGAGCGCTCTGAACACGAGAGAGAAGTACTTTGAAATTGGTGTGAAAGTAGAGCAGGCCTCGACCTCCTATTTATTTCAAATTTTAGGAAGTGCACGATGCATTTTAAAGGGAGCGCATCGCGCATATGCGAGTTACCCCCACCTAAGCATGGACAAGTGTTGCTTCGCCACGTGCCCACCATTCTCATGTCTTTGTGAATCTGTCGTTAGTTACGCGCCCGAAAATATTGATTTTATAAAATTTGTATCTTCAGCATACGATCTCCGTTTCCAACGTTTTTCATATCCACGCAACCATCTCGACGAGTACTATAAATTTCTTTTAGGTTGTTTTAGCTGATTCCAAACTTATTTTTAGCCCATTATTTGTAAAGATGGGATATTCTAAATGATTTTACAAAAATCATAACTCTATCATGCGGGCTCTGTTTTTTGACGATCTTCGTCTTGTTATTCTTATACTGAGGACTACTACAAATCTCCCTTTAGGTGATTATGCTAAAACTCAACAAATTTCTAATTCGTTATTTTACGACACACAACCTTGTACACTGTAGATTTTTAAAACTTTAGAAAATCATAACTCCTCCATATAAAGTCAACTTTTTACGAAAATTATATTCTTGGAATCGCATTAATGTCTACTTTCGGAATATATTATAATTTATATAATATAATACAACTTTTTGTGTGCCTAATTTTTGCCTTTATTACAATTTCGGTAACTCCTCCATATGAAGTCATCTTTTTACGAAAATTACATGTTTAGATTATGACTTTTGTTATTCGCTAAGAATTCGATTGTTAATCGAGACCGAGCTCTGAGAGTTGTTATAGTGGTGGAAATGCAAAATTACACATAGTGGCTATAAAAAACCCAAAATAATAATAATTTTTCGTACTTAACTTTCAAACATAGATCTTGAAGCAGATTAACGTGGAAATTTCAGTGTTACTTTCGTGTAGAGTTTTTTATGTCTTCAAGTTTGATCTACAATTTTGTTTTTTTTTTCATTGTATTTTTGCAGTGACATAAATTTCAACTCTTGGTTTTTAACTGAATTGTTGATGAAGTATGACTTTTTTGAAAATTAAGTTTTAACTTCGTTATAAATTACTAGAAAAATCATTTTTTGGTTGGAATTTTCTGCATCTTCAAGTATTTACATAATATTATTCTAATTCACATGTTACATAAATATTTAAAATTCAACTTACAAACAATATTTAAGATTTTTTAGTAAGCTCGTCCATTTAATTCTACACAAAACTAATATAAAACAAAAACATGATATTAAGTTTTATTTTATATCAAATATAATTATTCAAACCATCATTATATAGAAATTAAATTCTTTTCTCCTAAATAAAGATCAAACAATAAACATTCACTCCCAGTCTCTCTCACTCTCAATAATTGATAATTTAAGCACATTGGAAATCCTTCGGAACATTCTTGCTACAAACATTGAGAAGCAAAGTGAGAGAGAGTGGCACATTCACAACGATCCCAAGAATATTAGCCTTGATAGCAGTACAAACGCAAACAGCAGCCTCAAGATCAACAAGGCCTTCGATCAGGCTACAACATGGCTTAGTTGGTGGGTGCCCAATGATAATACCAATTAGACTACCAAGAACATTAGCGCACACACCTAGTTTCAAGATATCTATTGGACAGGTTGCTCCAGATTGATCTGGTTTTAGGGTAGCGCCAGGGCAGGTGGTGCAACCACTTGCAAGTGCAAAGAAAAGAAGGTTAAATGCAAGAAAGAGAGCTATAGGAGTATTGGTGTTTGAAGCCATCTCTAGGTGATAATGAGTGTGTGTCTTAAGAGAAGATATGGTTTATGAATGGTTGATGGTATTGAAGTTTGGAGTTGTGGAGGTTTATATAGGTCAACACCGGTAATTAATTAGAATTTTGAGGCCCTCGTGGAATTTTATAACAATAAATTTATGGGTACTACTATCTATACTTCGTTTTTTCTTATCTTATCCCCTCTATCAGTACTTTTTAGGTAAAATAAATAAAAATCAGACATTATATTTCTCTCTCTCTCTCTCTCTCTCTCTCTCTCTCTCTCTCTCTTATATATATATATATATTATAATATATATATATATATATATATATATATATTAAATGAATATGCATTATATTTTAAGCTTGATAATTAATGTTTTGAAACATGTTAAAAGAAAGCCATTAATTATCTGATTGCCAGGTAACAAATATGGATATTTTGAATATAATATATAATATATATATATATATATATATCTATATATATATATATATATATATATAATAATATATATATATATTTACCAGAATATACATTATAATTCTCTCGTGTGTGTGTGTATATATATATATATATATATATATATATTTAGGTGGGGTTCAATAAAGAACCATAATTAACCAAGAAACCAAGGAACGAATCGTGAGCGTCGAAAATCATAACGATCAACGGCCAAGGAAGTAGATGTACACTTTTACATTGGACGCACACACACACCGGATTATACCAAAAAATCAACCATTTACAAAAAAAAGTCACCACTTTCTTTTTGTTTATAATTTTTTTAGGCCATGTTTTTTATCGAAAAAAAAACCGAATATACCGTTGTTCATGATTTTCCGTCCTCTTTCCATAGAGATCCATGATGATATATAAAAAACGAACTTTTTTTTCGAAAAAAACTCACTTCATTTTCTTTGATAAAAAAAGTTAAGGTCTATTTTTTTATAGAAAAAAAATTAATAAATATATCAAAATTCATATTTTTTGTACTTTTTAAACATAGATTTATATTCATGTTTAAAAAAAAAAAACGATATTTCAGTTCAGATTCACAATGTGAACCTGTTCAGATTCATATCGTAAACATGTTCAGATTCACATTGTGAACCTCCTCAGATTCACAGTATGCATAATAATAAGTCAGATTCACAGTGTGAATCTGAACTGATCGGAGCTTTTTCACATTGTGAATGTTAAAATTTGAAATATTTACAGTTGAGATTCACAGTGTGAATCTATACTGATCGAGGTTTTTTTTTGTGAACCTTCTCAGATTCACAATGTGCATAATAGTAATTCAAATTCACAATGTGAATCTAAACTTTTCGAGATTTTTCATATTGTGAATGTTAAAAATTGAAATATTTACAGTTTACATTCACAGTGTGAATCTACATTGTTGGAGGATTTTTTTTTTAAATCGGTGTTGATGTTTATTAATCGAGTACAAAAAATTAATATTTTTGGTATAATTAGTTTTTTTTTATAAAAATAAACTTAAATATTGAAAAAAACTAAGAAAATTAAGTGGGTTTTTTTCGAAAAAAAAAAAAGTTTGTTTTTTATATATCATCAGTGATCTCTATGGAAAGAGGACGAAAAATCGTGAACAACGGTATCTTCGGTTTTTTTTTTTTCGATAAAAAATTTGGCCTAAAAAAATTTTAAATGAAAAAAGGAAGTGAGTTTTGTTATAATTCGGTACATGTGCTTCCATTATAAAAGTTTACAACTCTTCCTTTTGCCGTTGATCGCTTTAAATTCCGACGTTTTTGATTGGTTCCTTGGTTCCTTAATTAATAGGGTTCTCTATTGAACTTTTCCATATATATATATATATATATATAATATATATATAGATATATATATATATATATATATATATTATATTAGATATTTTAAGTTTGGTAATTCATGGTACTTAATGTTTTAAACATATTTAAAGAACGCCCCTTCATTATCCGATTGTCAGGTAACAAATATGAATATTTTAATATATATATATATATATATATATATATATAGATATATATATATATATATATTTTAAGCTTGATAATTAATGTTTTGAAACATGTTAAAGAAAGCTCATTAATTATCTGATTGTCAATGCAACAAATTATATATATATATATATAATATATATATATAGATATTATATATATATATATATATATATATTAACAAGAAAATACATTATAATTCTCCTCTCTCTGATGTTTTATATCTCCCTCTCGTATATTCTTATAAGATATATAGATATATATATATATAGATATAATATATATATATATATATATATATATATATATATATATATTATAAAAGAAAGCCCATTAATTAAATGAATATACATTATATTTTAAGTTTGATAATTAAGGTTTTGAAACATGTTAAAAGAAAGCCATTAATTATCTGATTGTCAGGTAACATATTATGGATATTTGAATTTTATATATATATATATATATATATATATATATCTATATATATTATATATATATATATATATATATATATATAAAAGTTCAATAAAGAACCATAATTATTGTTTCTTCAAGGAACCAAATCTTTTTTCAATTTCTATAGCTTATCTTTATCGAAAAAAATCTAAAATATCTAAATTCATATATTAACACTGTGAATGTGAAAAATATTTTCCGGGTTCACCGTGTGAATCCGGATTCACATTGTGAATTTCAAAGATTCACATTGTGAATTTGAAATAAAAAAAAATCAAATTTGAATTTATTGGAAAATGATAAAAAGTTATGAATTTCTTATTTGTTTAGTTTTTTTTTTTTGATACAAAAGTTTTAAAAGTTGAAAAAAATATTGGTTCTTTGGTTCCTTGGTTAATTAATGGTTCTCTATTGAACCTTACCCTATATATATATATATATATATATATATATATATATATATATTATATATATATATATATATATATATATATATTAACTTTGGTAATTATTGGTATTAATGTTTTAAAACATATTAAAAGAATGCCCATTCATTATCAGATTGCCAGGTAACAAATTATGAATATTTTAATATATTATATATATATATATAGATATATATATATATATATATATATTCCGAAGATACATTATATTTCTCTCTCATTGTTTATGATTTTAAGGTTTTATCGGTGATAATGGGAAGGCAAAGGCAGGAGTGATTGTAAACACTCATCGGTAGCATTGATGATTCTCCCTTTCTTATATAACTCTAATTTTTAATAAATGTATTTTGGAATAAACAGTTTTCTTAGTAATGGATTTATAATGGGGAAGTTTTACTCTAATAAAAATGAAAATTTTTTGTTGTAGAAATGGGACGTTACAGCTGTTGATGTCGGCTTAGGCTTCTGGAGGTTTTCCACTCCCTATAACCTCTAATACATTTATTCTTTACTCCTTCACATGTATCTATTTCCATTTGAAGCAGATGATTTCAATTTAAGAGCCTTTCCTTTTGATTTTCTAATGTATTCAGATTAAATTGCAAAAAAATCTTATCCCGGTTTTGACAACCATCAACACTATTTGTAAAAAGCATTAATTGTGACCTAAGTGAGATAAGTTGTATTTTGAAAGTATATTTTCTGTATGTAGTTTCATTTAAAATGAATAATATATGCTATCATAACAACAATATGGCTATGTGTTTGGAGTTGTAGATTTTCAATAAAAAAAATAACATTCAAGAATGAAGGACTAAGAATCAATTTTCTATAGCTATTGTTCTGGGTTATGTGTGTAACGCTTCAAAATACAGACACTATACCGCTGATGTAAACAAGAAGTTGTAAGTTTCCATTCTTACTGTTTTTATATGCACACACTCGAGGTTTTATGGCCCCATATCGTAATGTGAGGTAATGATTTGGAGATTTCCGTCAAAGACGTGCATTAACCAATAAAGAAAAATTTAACTATTCACATGCAAAACTTCATAACGTCATTGAGCGTGCTTTTGGTGTTTTGAAAGCACGATTTCCTCTATTGAAAAGGATGGCACAATTCTTATTGGTTACAAAAAGACACATTAACATTAGACTTTCTCACTTCATAATATTATAAGAAAAGATGGACTGAATGATGAGTATTTTGCATGATACGATAAATCAAATGTCTTGTTTTGAGATAACGATGTCCTTATTGATAATAATGATGAAGACGAGGTTCCAGCACATGTTATTGCAGCGGACCGTGAATATGTGACTCAGTTACATGATGAAATTGTTGAGCAGTTGATGAAAAATATGGAATGAGGATTATTAAAATTTGGTTGTATGAATTTTATTTCAAATTGCTATTGTAAGATTAATTTGGTTGTACAAATTTTATTTCAATGTTTTAAGACTATAATTATTAAAATTTTAGTGTTGGAAAACTAGTTTCAGTTTGTAAAATTATTTTATTTAAAGTTCGGTTTATTGCAACAGTCTACAAATGTTAAAAAACAAACAAGATTCATATTACGGGTTGCAGCCGTTTGGTAAACATCTTCTGTTGTATAGGTGGTCTGTAGACTTCATGAATTTTCGCTTTGTAAAAACAAACAACACCTAACTAAAAGTGTATTCCTACTTTTGTGGGTTGTATATAAATGCCAATTTTCTTGATTTCTTGATGACTGAAATTGATAAGCAGGAACATTTTGGGGATGTATTTGTACATGACATGATCTAATTACCAAGGTGGGACTTCTATTTCTATATCATCTCGCACATTAATGTATATCTGATGTTACCATCTTCACTAACTTCAACTACCGAAGCTAGGGTCTTAATTGATTTTTTTCGTTAGGTTGTAACTTTTCAAGCTTAAACAATATTTGAGAACATCATTTTGTAGCATCTATGATCTTTTGGATAGATCTGAGCTCAAATGGACATGTTTTGAATCGAATATATATATATATATATATATATTATATATATATATATATATATATATATATATATATATATATATATATATATAA